ATCAGGTCTTCTATACACGCTTCCGATGCAAGCGTCCGTGCGTTGAAGGTACGGATCGCCATCTTAGTCCTTCTCCTTTTGGGCAGCCTGTTTTGGCCCTGAGATTTTAGCAGCCTCTCCCGAGCGGTCCTACCCCTGCCGTATTGGGAACTCCCTCAGGGTCAGAGGAATGAGGCCCATTTCTATAACATCACTGTTTTTGGTGTGTAGATACCAAACGTGCAGCTTGCCACGCTCTAACGTGGGGGCTAGGTTGACTCCAGGGGCTTGCCAGGCCATCCCAAAGTGGACGAGGGGCTTTGTTTTTGGAGGCGGCCTCGAATCGCCTCCCACATACTTCCCAGTCACTCGAATGCAAGCTTTTGGCCGAGCCGATGGGCAGGATACCAACTGCACCCACAGACTCTCCACACACGTATGCGTGGATCGCCTGCGAGAAACAGAGGGTACATCGACCCAGCACAGCAGAATCAAGGAGTCCATCCCCTGAATCCACCTGCGTCTCTGGGCAAGTACCGGTAACTTTTGGTCGGCGATTTATTCCCCTATACGCCACCTGGGGACGCGCCTCGTCGCTAACCGACTGGGATCCTTCAGTGAGAGAGAACCCTCAGTGAAGGAGATAAGCAGATTCCCTTCACTGAGGGTTCTCTCTCACTGAAGGATCCCCAGCCGGTTAGTGAATGTAAAATTTATTAATTCGACAATAAATGCGACAAACCCGAAGAAAAGAAGAAAATTCGACTACTCGTCTCACGCCTGGACAAGGACTGTCATCAAATGTGGGTGCAGCTATTGCTATCAAGCAGCCGTCTGAACTCTTATGAAATGAAACTGTGAAGTTGCTGGAAAGCTTATTGAGAACGGCGAGACCTTATTCCCCCGCGGTTCGAATGTTTCAGGATGAGATACAAAGGTCAGGTGTTCAACGTTTACGAGCTACAGAAGACGAAGTGTACGGATGTCAAACTGGATACCATCGACTTTGACGATCTGCGGTGTCTTCTCTACTTCGCTGGATTCCAAGGACCTGTCTACACCGGCTACCGTAGACGTCTGAGCGAAAGCTGAACCAGCTTGAGGTGGTCATGTCTAGAGACCTAACAGCAGAGTGCCAGCTGATCAAGTCATATAAATAGGACCCATGAATTCTTGAAGGCAATCCATCAGTCATCTTCACAAGAAGCTGTTTCGAAGCAAGTAGAAGTCCCGTCACGTCAACAGTAGATGAAGGAGCCGAACTATTCTCACAAAATGAATGAAGCTACAAGATGGGCTGACCACCAACCGTCGCTGACGTCGGCATATCAGCAACGCCATAGCCACTCTCAAGAGGGATGGTTCCTCTTGTAGGCCTATAGCACATCAAGTGTAGTCTACCACAGTCAATTAGGGGCCACCTTTTGGGCGCCATGTTCTAGTATTTGATCAGATGATCTTTGATCAGGGTATTTGACCAGGTCAACTAATAAATAAACCCGGTATTCTCACAAGATTGTCATTGCTATCCAGATCGTTTCACTAATAAATCTTCCACGCACGACTCCAATCAATACCTAAATCGGACGTGGTCATAAATGGTCACCCAGTGCAGTTTCTACTGGATGCTGGCTCAGAAATTCCAAGATCTACATTGAAGCTGTTAGAAGCCCCTCCCCTTCAGAGCGCAGATGTTACTGGATATGTGGTCAATGGAACTCTAATCAAAATCCTTGGAAACTTTAAGACGGACTTCACCGTCATCAACTCATTTGGATGACGTTTCAATGGTCATGGAACTTGCTTCATATCTGAAGACAAATGCAATGCCTTCGGA